CATTTGTTATGTTTCTGCACTACTTTCCCACAGGTGCCAGAGTGTTTGACTCCAGCCTGCATTTGTTATGTTTCTGCACTACTTTCCCACAGGTGCCAGAGTGTTTGACTCCAGCCAGCATTTGTCATGTTTCTGCACTACTTTCCCACAGGTGCCAGAGTGTTTGACTCCAGCCTGCATTTGTTATGTTTCTGCACTACTTTCCCACAGGTGCCAGAGTGTTTTGACTCCAGCCTGCATTTGTTATGTTTCTTTCACTACTTTCCCACAGGTGCCATAGTGTTTGACTCCAGCCTGCATTTGTTATGTTTCTGCACTACTTTCCCACAGGTGCCAGAGTGTTTGACTCCAGCCTGCATTTGTTATGTTTCTGCACTACTTTCCCACAGGTGCCAGAGTGTTTGACTCCAGCCTGCATTTGTTATGTTTCTGCACTACTTTCCCACAGGTGCCAGAGTGTTTGACTCCAGCCTGCATTTGTTATGTTTCTGCACTACTTTCCCACAGGTGCCAGAGTGTTTAACTCCAGCCTGCATTTGGCATGTTTCTGCACTACTTCCCCACAGGTGCCAGAGTGTTTGACTCCAGCCTGCATTTGTCATGTTTCTGCACTACTTTCCCACAGGTGCCAGAGTGTTTGACTCCAGCCTGCATTTGTTATGTTTCTGCACTACTTTCCCACAGGTGCCAGAGTGTTTGACTCCAGCCAGCATTTGTCATGTTTCTGCACTACTTTCCCACAGGTGCCAGAGTGTTTGACTCCAGCCTGCATTTGTTATGTTTCTGCACTACTTTCCCACAGGTGCCAGAGTGTTTGACTCCAGCCTGCATTTGTTATGTTTCTGCACTACTTTCCCACAGGTGCCAGAGTGTTTGACTCCAGCCTGCATTTGTTATGTTTCTGCACTACTTTCCCACAGGTGCCAGAGTGTTTGACTCCAGCCTGCATTTGTCATGTTTCTGCACTACTTCCCCACAGGTGCCAGAGTGTTTGACTCCAGCCTGCATTTGTCATGTTTCTGCACTACTTCCCCACAGGTGCCAGAGTGTTTGACTCCAGCCTGCATTTGTCATGTTTCTGCACTACTTTCCCACAGGTGCCAGAGTGTTTGACTCCAGCCAGCATTTGTTATGTTTCTGCACTACTTTCCCACAGGTGCCAGAGTGTTTGACTCCAGCCTGCATTTGTCATGTTTCTGCACTACTTTCCCACAGGTGCCAGAGTGTTTGACTCCAGCCAGCATTTGTCATGTTTCTGCACTACTTTCCCACAGATGCCGGAGTGTTCTTGGTGAAGTGTCATGTTTCTGCACTACTTTCCTACATGTGCCAGAGTGTTTGACTCCAGCCTGCATTTGTCATGTTCACAAAAGTGAAAGCTGCTGCACATCTAGCTAGACATGCTATTGAAATGTTATTCTTAGAGTCTAGTTCTCAACCGGGCTCACGCTGCAGGTAAGGCAACTATTTGTGAACTACATAACACATCTGAGATTGTTCTTGATTGTCAAAAGATGAGGTAAACAATGCAAGAGTTGATCAACATAATGTAGCAGATGTCAGGAGGAAACCAGCCAATGAGGGACATTGATGACATGTTCTTGTAGATGTATCCTGTTGCCCAGCACAGCAAACATCATGATCACAAGATACAACAAGTGATATATTCACAACTAACACACAATTGACATCCCTCTCTAGTGGCAGATACTCTCAGATATTTTTATTTTACTCATATAAGACATGACAACACAGTAGAGCATTTAACACATGGGAACCAAACATGACCTTGGTTCCATGGTCAACTCGGCCTAAAATATGTAACAGGTAAAATACACTGGGAAGTCAAGGCAGCCAGCGTGATGTTGAGCACATCACCTACCAAGTGCTGATTGATCTATGAAAAATGTGCTGGATGTACCAGCGGCATTAAGGGTCCTTGGCTTGACTTTTACATGGGAACTATGTACCATGACTGATACATGTATTGAGGTGGACTTGTGCGAACAAAATGCTATGGACCATGTTGTGTGCTGGTGGGGGCATCAGGAAGGGAATAAGAATGAAGAAAGAAATGATTGCAGAAAGAATGAGAGCTGAGCATCTGAGAAGAAACAAACTAAACACAAATGTTGACACCAGGGGTCCTGAAATCTAATGCTATAATTGTGGAAGACTTGTTTTAATGCGGAAGGGTCATACTAGTCACACTCATCATCACTATGAGTTGTCAGTCATCAGATGTTTTTAGAATCATCGACTATTTTTAGAGACAAATAGATTATTTGGCAAGCACACACAAAAAGTTGAGGAAATCAAGGCAGAAGTAGACATTTCACTAAAGACAAGACAAAGAATTGAAGCCAGCATCATAAGGTAGATACAATGCTGAAGATGATTACAAAGCAAAGCAGGTCAAAGGCTGAACAAAAGTGGCGGAGGCTTAGGATGCGGCAGACAGCCTCTTATCTAGGAAGGGTTTGGGTGGTCACTTTAGCTTCCTCTCTTCCAACTGCCTGATGTGCTGTCTGAGCTCGGCTAAAAGTCTTCTTCACCTACTACAGCCAACAGAGATACATATGAATACGTGTTCGCAGAGTGGATGACATACTTCTGCTGACAAGCCATAGTTCTCAGATACATATGAATACGTGTTCGTGGAGTGGATGACATACTTCTGCTGACAAGCCATAGTTCTCAGATACATATGAATACGTGTTCGCAGAGAGGATGACATACTTCTGCTGACAAGCCATAGTTCTCAGATACATATGATTACGTGTTCGCACAGTGGATGACATACTTCTGCTGACAAGCCATAGTTCTCAGATACATATGATTACGTGTTCGCACAGTGGATGACATACTTCTGCTGTCAAGCCATAGTTCTCAGATACATATGAATACATGTTCGCAGAGTGGATGACATACTTCTGCTGACAAGCCATAGTTCTCAATCACAACAATAAAACTACTGCTATGATTGTAGTCAGCTGCCTAGTTAGTCTGAGAAAAGCTTGCAGAGACGAGACGACCACTGACTGGAGAGACCATCACTGACTGGAAAGACCATCCCTGACTGGACACTGGACAGTAACCAGCAATCTGACACTGTGCAGTAACCAGCAATCTGACACTGTGCAGTAACCAGCAATCTGACACTGTGCAGTAACCAGCAATCTGACACTGTGCAGTAACCAGTGATCTGGCATGTCTCCTCACAATGTGTATTGTCTAGTTTTTACAAGATCCTGCTACTAGAAACCCGAAGGTCATGTAGCTGTGGCACCACATATTTAGGCTGGGTTTTGTTTCTTCTTTGTCTCATCCAGTTTTCTTTTACAGGGGTGAATAATCTTTCAAAAGCGTTTATGAAGACCATTTTCCCTGACTGTGCTCAGCTGTGTCTGCCTCCACTTCATGGACCATCTTCCCTGACTGTGCTTAGCTGTGTCTGCCTCCACTTCATGGACCATCCTCCCTGACTGTGCTCAGCTGTGTCTGCCTCCACTTCATGGACCATCTTCTTCCCTGACTGTGCTCAGCTGTGTCTGCCTCCACTTCATGGACCATCTTCCCTGACTGTGCTCAGCTGTGTCTGCCTCCACTTCATGAAGACCATCCTTCCTGACTGTGCTCAGCTGTGTCTGCCTTCACTTCATGGACCATCTTCCCTGACTGTGCTCAGCTGTGTCTGCCTCCACTTCATGGACCATCTTCCCTGACTGTGCTCAGCTGTGTCTGCCTCCACTTCATGGACCATCTTCCCTGATTGTGCTTAGCTGTGTCTGCCTCCACTTCATGAAGACTATCTTCCCTGACTGTGCTCAGCTGTGTCTGCCTCCACTTCATGGACCATCCTTCCTGACTGTGCTCAGCTGTGTCTGCCTCCACTTCATGGACCATCTTCCCTGACTGTGCTCAGCTGTGTCTGCCTCCACTTCATGAAGACTATCCTCCCTGACTGTGCTCAGCTGTGTCTGCCTCCACTTCATGAAGACTATCCTCCCTGACTGTGCTCAGCTGTGTCTGCCTCCACTTCATGAAGACTATCTTCCCTGACTGTGCTCAGCTGTGTCTGCCTCCACTTCATGAAGACTATCTTCCCTGACTGTGCTCAGCTGTGTCTGCCTTGCCTCCACTTCATGGACCATCTTCCCTGACTGTGCTCAGCTGTGTCTGCCTTGCCTCCACTTCATGAAGACCATCCTCCCTGACTGTGCCCAGCTGTGTCTACCTCCATTTCATGAAGACCATCCTCCCTGACTGTGCTCAGCTGTGTCTGCCTCCACTTCATGAAGACTATCTTACCTGACTGTGCTCAGCTGTGTCTGCCTCCACTTCATGAAGACCATCCTCCCTGACTGTGCTCAGCTGTGTCTGCCTCCACTTCATGGACCATCTTCCCTGACTGTGCTCAGCTGTGTCTGCCTCCACTTCATAAAGACCATCCTCCCTGACTGTGCTCAGCTGTGTCTGCCTCCACTTCATGAAGACTATCTTACCTGACTGTGCTCAGCTGTGTCTGCCTCCACTTCATGAAGACTATGTTCCCTGATTGTGCTCAGCTGTGTCTGCCTCCACTTCATGAAGACTATCTTCCCCGATTGTGCTCAGCTGTGTCTGCCTCCACTTCATGAAGACCATCTTCCCTGACTGTGCTCAGCTGTGTCTGCCTCCATTTCATGAAGACTATCTTACCTGACTGTGCTCAGCTGTGTCTGCCTCCACTTCATGAAGACCATCCTCTCTGACTGTGCTCAGCTGTGTCTGCCTCCACTTCATGAAGACCATCTTCCCTGACTGTGCTCAGCTGTGTCTGCCTCCATTTCATGAAGACTATCTTCCCCGATTGTGCTCAGCTGTGTCTGCCTCCACTTCATGGACCATCTTCCCTGACTGTGCTCAGCTGTGTCTGCCTCCATTTTATGAAGACTATCTTCCCCGATTGTGCTCAGCTGTGTCTGCCTCCACTACTGTTCTAATCTGCACATTACAACTCATCTGCTCCTGATCTTCTTGACAACCTTGTTTAATGAATACCTGAGAGACTTTGTCAGTCCTGCAGTGAGGATTCCTTTGAGACTCTGGGACAAACTAGATCTCTTCACAATGTCATTGATGCTATTGGCAACATACTTGGCACATTCTGAATCATAGGCATGTCGTTTGATAATCTCTTCCAGGTCAGGAAACACTCCAATCTGCAAATAGAAACATCACCCAACAGTTACGACACAAGAGTGTAAGACAGACAGGAGGCATTCTAAATGAACTTGCATGAATACGATTGATCCATGTACCTAAGAATTAGCAGGGTAAGTCATAAACTAACCAGCTGGATGACAGTCAAGCCGTGATGCAAAAGCTCGATGTCTGAACCCAGTCATGAAATGAATCAATGTATACACCAGACCTGGGGTGTTTGGAAAATCTGACCATCAGGTGTGTCCAGGTGAATGTGATTTGCTTCCAACATGACACCAAGACATTGTTTCACTACTGTAATAACAAATAAGTGATTGGCTTATGAATTAATTGTAAATGTAGGCAAAACTTGCTTCCTGTTACTGTAGCCCAGCTTGTGTAAACACCTTATCAGCTGATACATGTGTGCACATAGTTGTAATTTTATCACAGGTATATTAATGCTGGTTTAAACATATATCCTAATCACCTTACACACACCACACTGACCTGATACAGACCACAGGGACCTGACACAGACACGAGTGACCAGACACAGACACGAGTGACCAGACACAGACCCCAATGACCTGACACAGACCCCAGTGACCAGACACAGACACCAGTGACCTGACACAGACACCAGTGACCAGACATAGACACCAGTGACCTGACACAGACCCCGTGACCAGACATAGACACCAGTGACCAGACACAGACACCAGTGACCAGACACAGACACCAGTGACCTGACACAGACACCAGTGACCAGACATAGACACCAGTGACCAGACACAGACACCAGTGACCAGACACAGACACCAGTGACCAGACACAGACACCAGTGACCAGACACAGACACCAGTGACCAGACACAGACCCCAGTGACCTGACACAGACCCCAGTGACCAGACACAGACCCCAGTGACCAGACACAGACCCCAGTGACCAGACACAGACACCAGTGACCAGACACAGACCCCAGTGACCAGACACAGACCCCAGTGACCAGACATAGACCCCAGTGACCTGACACAGACCCCAGTGACCTGACACAGACCCCAGTGACCTGACACAGACCCCAGTGACCAGACATAGACACCAGTGACCTGACACAGACACCAGTGACCAGATATAGACACCAGTGACCTGACACAGACCCCAGTGACCAGATATAGACACCAGTGACCAGACATAGACACCAGTGACCAGACACAGACACCAGTGACCAGACACAGACCCCAGTGACCAGACACAGACCCCAGTGACCTGACACAGACACCAGTAACCAGACACAGACACCAGTAACCAGACACAGACCCCAGTGACCTGACACAGACCCCAGTGACCAGACACAGACACCAGTGACCAGACACAGACACCAATGACCAGACACAGACACCAGTGACCAGACACAGACCCCAGTGACCAGACACAGACCCCAGTGACCAGACACAGACACCAGTGACCAGACACAGACCCCAGTGACCAGACACAGACCCCAGTGACCAGACATAGACACCAGTGACCAGACACAGACCCCAGTGACCAGACACAGACCCCAGTGACCAGACACAGACCCCAGTGACCTGACACAGACCCCAGTGACCTGACACAGACCCCAGTGACCAGACACAGACCCCAGTGACCAGACACAGACCCCAGTGACCAGACACAGACCCCAGTGACCTGACACAGACACCTGTGACCTGACACAGACACCAGTGACCAGACACAGACACCAGTGACCAGACACAGACACCAGTGACCAGACACAGACACCAGTGACCTGACACAGACACCAGTGACCTGACACAGACCCCAATGACCAGACACAGACACCAGTGACCAGACACAGACCCCAGTGACCAGACACAGACCCCAATGACCAGACACAGACACCAGTGACCAGACACAGACCCCAGTGACCAGACACAGACACCAGTGACCAGACACAGACCCCAGTGACCAGACACAGACCCCAGTGACCAGACACAGACACCAGTGACCTGACACAGACACCAGTGACCAGACACAGACACCAGTGACCAGACACAGACACCAGTGACCAGACACAGACACCAGTGACCAGACACAGACACCAGTGACCAGACACAGACACCAATGACCAGACACAGACACCAGACCCCAGTGACCTGACACAGACCCCAGTGACCAGACATAGACACCAGTGACCAGACACAGACACCAGTGACCAGACACAGACACCAGTAACCAGACACAGACCCCAGTGACCTGACACAGACCCCAGTGACCAGACATAAACACCAGTGACCAGACACAGACACCAGTGACCAGACACAGACACCAATGACCAGACACAGACCCCAGTGACCTGACACAGACCCCAGTGACCAGACATAGACACCAGTGACCAGACACAGACACCAGTGACCTGACACAGACCCCAGTGACCAGACACAGACACCAATGACCAGACACAGACACCAGTGACCTGACACAGACCCCAGTGACCAGACACAGACACCAGTAACCAGACACAGACACCAGTAACCAGACACAGACCCCAGTGACCTGACACAGACCCAAGTGACCAGACATAGACCCCAGTGACCATACACAGACACCAGTGACCAGACACAGACACCAGTGACCAGACACAGACACCAGTGACCTGACACAGATCCCAGTGACCTGACACAGACACCAGTGACCAGACACAGACCCCAGTGACCAGACACAGACCCCAGTGACACAGACTAACTCACCTGATATTTTTGTAGCAACAAGCCATACAACACCTGACCCGGCAGACACAGACTATCTCACCTGATATTTTTGTAGCAACAAGCCATACAACACCTGACCCGGCAGACACAGACTAACTCACCTGATATTTTTGTAGCAACAAGCCATACAACACCTGACCCAGCAGACACAGACTAACTCACCTGATATTTTTGTAGCAACAAGCCATACAACACCTGACCCGGCAGACACTTGAGGTGATGGTGCCTGGAGTGATAGGTCAAGGCTTGCTCCAGCTGACCCTCCGACTGCCACCAGGTCACATGCTCCTCTTCCAGTAAAAGAGGAGCATACATGCGGGCAAACAGCTGCATGTTTGGTCGTACAATGTTTGCTACCTGGAGGAGATCAGTCAGACAGACACCATGTTACACACATTACAAGAATCAGTCAGACAGACTCAGTCAGACAGACACCATGTTACACATACACACTACAAGAGTCAGTCAGACAGACACCATGTTACACACACTACAAGAGTCAGTCAGACAGACACCATGTTACACACACACACTACAAGAGTCAGTCAGACAGACACCCTGCTACACACACTACAAGAGTCAGTCAGACAGACACCATGTTACACACACTACAAGAATCAGTCAGACAGACACCATGTTACACACACTACAAGAGTCAGTCACACAGACACCATGTTACACACACTACAAGAATAAGTCAGACAGACACCATGTTACACACACTACAAGAGTCAGTCAAACAGACACCATGTTAAACACACTACAAGGGGGTTAACAAAGAAAACAGAATCAACACAAAACATTGAAATATAACAATGGAACAAGGCAAGCTAGAACAATTGCTGACAACACACTGGTCTGACAACACACTGGTCTGACAACACAGTGGTTTGACAACACACTGATCTTACAACACAGTGGTCTGACAACACAACACAGTGGTCTAACAACACAGTGGTCTGACAACACAACACAGTGGTCTGACAACACAACACAGTGGTCTGACAACACAACACAGTGGTCTGACAACACAACACAGTGGTCTGACAACACAACACAGTGGTCTGACAACACAACACAGTGGTCTGACAACACAACACAGTGGTCTGACAACACAACACAGTGGTCTGACAACACAGTGGTCTGAGGTAAGAATTTCCACTGATGCTGTTACAATTACACCCTAATTTATGCAAAACGGAATAACTATAGATAACAATTAGGCATAAATATCAAATACTGAAACATAAAAACTGTATATATCCCAACTGTAACCCAGACGGCTTCAACAGGATACTGTCGTATACATTACCTCTGATTTTGTAAACGAATCTGTTAGTCTAAGTCAACCCTGCCTAAAATGTTTTAGAAAAGGTTGTAGGACGTGAAGGTGGCCAGCACAATATTGCAAACAGATCCCAAGACAAGGAAAGGTTCCCTGACATTTGTATTCCTATCAGAAATGTTACCAGCTAATACATAATGGCATGAATGTTTCATAAAACATGTGAGCTCACAAGAGATCTTCCACTGCCACTATCGATGCAGTAATACAGGTGAACAATTGCTTGTGAAAGAATTTGATGTGTCAATTACAAAAGTTCAAAAGTTAGTTTTATTAATTGAAAAAAAAACTGCAATATCAGAGGCGTGCTCACAGTGGGTTCAGCAGTTGCTGAGCAACAACCACAGATGAAGAAGTAATGAATACGGTAAACAATCAGTGAGCAACCACTACAGATGAAGAAGTAATGAATACGGTAAACAATCAGTGAGCAACGACCACAGATGAAGAAGTAATGAATACGGTAAACAATCAGTGAGCAACGACCACAGATGAAGAAGTAATGAATACGCTAAACAATCAGTGAGCAACCACCACAGATGAAGAAGTAATGAATACGCTAAACAATCAGTGAGCAACGACCACAGATGAAGAAGTAATGAATACGCTAAACAATCAGTGAGCAACCACCACAGATGAAGAAGTAATGAATACGCTAAACAATCAGTGAGCAACGACCACAGATGAAGAAGTAATGAATACACTAAACAATCAGTGACCAACCACCACAGATGAAGAAGTAATGAATACGCTAAACAATCAGTGAGCAACCACTGTCCTTTTTTTGTGTGTGTGGATGGCCTCACTGCCTACCTAAGCAATGGGATGCTTCCCTGAATGTCTAGGGCCACTTTTTCTGACCAACCCATTGTGCTTAATTCATTCAAAAAGCTCTTTATGAATTCTGCCATACCTGTTGATTTTATGCTTTTGTTATAAAGCCACTGGACTGGGTTTCAAATAAACACCCCTTATATTGTGAATACATTTCTACTTGGACCACAATTTTGCTCATGTTAGCCGACTGCTAGTCTTTTATATTCAAATTGGCCATGTCTGAATGACTAATTAAATTATCACGTTTCAAAGTTAGAAGTGGTCAAGGTAGACAACTCAGTCAGAATGTAACGGGCAAATATTGACTCACTTTATTTCTGTCTTCCGCGATACCCATTCTAATATCACCAGCATAAGACAAACTGGCAATCTTGGTATAGAACTGTTCTTCTGTGAACAAGTCCGGTAACAGCAGCAGAGCTGCGTGGACAGCGCTGCGCAAGTTCATCTGTTGAGACAAGTCAAAGATGTGTTGTTAATTTTCTAATGAACTGCAGATAGACCACTGTCCAACTGCCAACAACGCGATTTTGAACACACAGACAAACAACAGACTGCACAATCTATTGCCTGGCATATTTAGCTTTATCTTGTTTGTTTGTGTCTTCTTTGCTCAAGTTCACAACAGGAAAACATTGCTTTGAATAACGTAATTACCAGCAGCAGAAGCAAACAAACAGCATGCTATAGGCATGAGAAGGAGTCACTGGAGCACATCTACAACAAGATCTGGAATTTATTTTCAAATGACTTTTAGAGCCTTGTTGAAGGAATGAGTTATTTTTAAACTAACTAGACAACCTAAATATGTCCTCTTTAGCCAGGTCAATCATTGACCATTATATCAGCAAGTAGGTTCTCTGAGCTCCACAGCTGATTTTTCTTACTCAATATTAGTTTTATTATTCATCTTTTTTCTTCTGGTCTCCAAGGACACAATTGTGTTGTGACTGTTTACAGCACGGCTGCAGTATCTGCACCATTTGGCCGACACATCCAACTTCTTCAGGCATTTGCTGCCCAGGTTAGCCTTCCCATAAATATTGAAACCATTGTGCTCTCTGATCTCTACAGTTATCCTCTCCTCACTGTCACGGCTCAATACATTTGAAGATATTTCTCACGGGCCTGCAAATGTTAAGGTAAAATATCTAGTGGCACAATGAAAGCAATGCTATACAAGCTACCTTCATGGCCGTGAGAAGATCCTCATTTGTGGGGATCACAATCAAACTGACAGGTTTGTGCAGCCGGCCACTGATGTAGAGAGATTCCCAGTCCAGCAGGTCTGTGATCAGCCTGGCTGTACTGATGACCCCGTACTTGATCAGCCGTCCTTCCATGGGCACCAAAGTGTTGAAGTATACGCCAGCCCCGTACCTGCAACACAGATATGTCTCAGTCACAGAGGTCATCATAGACTTGACATAGTCACAGAGGTCTTCATAGACAATGAGGTCAACAGAGTCTTGACATACAGTTACAGAGGTCAAAATAGATTTGACAGTCACAAAGGTCAACATAGACTTGAAATACACTCACATAAGTCAACACATACTTGACAAAGTGACAGAGGTCAACACAGACACATCATACAGAGATCAACTAGACAAGGCATTCTGTCAGACAGAAATAAAGATGACAGCACTTATGTTGTTCAGAAACACTGATACCAGATAACATCAGGGAAACCCTTGTTATACTTCATTAGCTTCCTTGTGCGCAACTACGAGAAGTATATGTGATCAAGGTCCACCACAAACGCCGGTCCTCTCTGATTTGATCAGTTCCACTGCTGACTCTTCCAAGCCACTGTCAACCTGTTCAACATTGGTTGTCACAGCCGTATTCAGATATTTGACATATGAGGACACAGAAACATACAATGTCCAGCATTTGAAGAGAGTATTCTCAATAGTTAGTGATCACAAAAAAACTATTATTTAAACAAAGACTGCTGGATGATGTCTTCAAGTAGCAGTAATGACAGAAGTAACTATGAGGTTCTATCATCTACAGGTAAACAAAGACTGCTGGATGATGTCTTCAAGTAACAGTGATGACAGAAGTAACTATGAGGTTCTATCATCTACAGGTAAACAAAGACTGCTGGATGATGTCTTCAAGTAGCAGTAATGACAGAAGTAACTATGAGGTTCTATCATCTACAGGTAAACAAAGACTGCTGGATGATGTCTTCAAGTAGCAGTGATGACAGAAGTAACTATGAGGTTCTATCATCTACAGGTAAACAAAGACTGCTGGATGATGTCTTCAAGTATCAGTGATGACAGAAGTAACTATGAGGTTCTATCATCTACAGGTAAACAAAGACTGCTGGATGATGTCTTCAAGTAGCAGTAATGACAGAAGTAACTATGAGGTTCTATCATCTACAGGTGAACAAAGACTGCTGGATGATGTCTTCAAGTAGCAGTAATGACAGAAGTAACTATGAGGTTCTATCATCTACAGGTAAACAAAGACTGCTGGATGATGTCTTCAAGTAGCAGTGATGACAGAAGTAACTATGAGGTTCTATCATCTACAGGTAAACAAAGACTGCTGGATGATGTCTTCAAGTAGCAGTAATGACAGAAGTAACTATGAGGTTCTATCATCTACAGCTAAACAAAGACTCACCTGTCCTGTATTCTGGTGATCGTATCAGGCCCAAAGTGTTTCAAAAAGGAGTAGTGGTGAGGGTGTTTCTCCAGGTTGAGCCGGTGCCACCGCCGCGGTTTATCGACCACAAAGATAAAGTCCAGCATATTTTTGGACACATCTAAACTGTTCTTTTGTTGGATTGCTCCAGAGCCATATGCAAATGCTAGCTGAATTCCCTCAGGAAATGATTCCACTATCCGGGTGTAGAGTGACTGCTGTAGATTTGGTTCTACCACAGAATTTGTCTCTGCTAACAATCTGTCTTTCTGACAGTTGTTGAGATCAAACTTCATCTCAGACACATTTGTATGTTTAACCTGTGTTGAGTAGTGTAGTGCTGGTCTGGCAGTGATCAGTCTCAACGTTGGTGCAGTGATCAGTCTCAATGTTGGTGCACTGACAAGACAAACTGTACAATGTCTGTGAGAAACCCTGGTGCACACTGAATACATGGTTCCACACCAGGTTTGGTGTAATGCTGAGCTTACAAATTTCCGATAAAGACAACAACCAGAAATACGTGATAATTCTGAATGCAGCTGGCAAGACAGGCTGATATCAGTCATTCTTTTAATTAACATTTTGCTCATTTTCTTGAAGTATGAAATAAGCTGTCAAGTTACGTCCAAACACGGAGAACTGGATGCTTCAAACAAGTCTGGCAACGACTTCCGGTCTCAGTGACCAAGTGACATGTTCTGTGACTGATCGGAGCTGCTTATGTTGAGAGGCATTCACTGGCTTTATGTTATTGCTTATTTGTGTTTCTGATATTACTTCCTGACTGAACTATTGTTTCTCATTAATCACATACACTGCTATTTCTCAATTATTATGTTATGCTGCTGTTTTTCACTTGAAATGATGTACTGCTGTTTCTCAAATAAACGTACTCTGAACTCCTTATTTGTTATCCTGTGGCTTCTTAACTAAACTGCTGATTCTGGAACTATTATATACTGCTGTTTCTTGGGTTGTTATACTGCTGTTTCTTGGGTTGTTATACTGCTGTTTCTCGGTTACAACGTATTGTAATGTTTCTCTTTTGAGCATTGTATTCTATAAATACTGTGTCCTGGTCGAGTGGTTAAACTGCTTCATTTCAGTTGAAGTTTGAACTTTAGTTTCACTGCAGTTTATCAGTTATGTTATACTACTTTTACATTATTCTAAATTGTCGAACGTTACCCTGACTAAAATGTCTTCTACTCGCTGTTTTTAACGTGACTTGTTATTGAGACTTTGGTAAAACTTGTACTTACTTCTGAATACTATATTTATATATCGCTATATTTTGTTCATAAATTGTAAAAAAGTATTTAGTATGTGAGGCAGCAGCATATTTTGGACAAGTCTTGCTAGTATTTCAGTAAATTTCACGTTCTTGTTCTTGTCTTTCACTTACTTTTAAAATGTGTTATGTGATAGTTTCGTTTGAAACAGAATACAAACATGTAGTCTGTCTATTCAGCTAGCTTTAGCAATATATAAACAAGAACACATGACACAAGCAGACTGTGTTTAGAAAGTTGATCAATTTAGTGTGACCGGCTCCCGTCTGGTAACTTCTTGTCCGACTGACCGACCCTGTCGTCGTTTGCCCACAGCCGGGGAGACCACTCCCATTTTGTAGCTCTTTGCCCTAGCGCTGGTGTCCCTTGATGCGTTAACTCTTAGCTGATGTGTTGTGTCATGAAGGACAAACACAACCTAGGCCACATTCTGACAAATCCTATGTGCAGATTATTCTTCTTTTTCACCGTGTTCACCAGTGGTAAATTCCGGCGGAAAGTTCTAGTGTTCGAAGACCTCCTGACTTTAGAACCTATGTGTTGCGTGCACATCCGTTGTACAGGTCTGGTTTATTTGTATGCAGACTGGTGGTTGCTTGCTTCTCAGGCAGATGCACTCCGAGTTCGAAGAATTCCACCAGATAGTATGTCCCTCGAGATACTTTTGGGGGATGGCGCATGGGTATTCGCATTTACCGGGGGGGGGGGCGTTAAGTTGTCCCTTTGCTGTTACAACGAGCAGCCTTATAACGGAAACACACGCATGCACACTTTTGACTCCATGAATATGCTTTAGACAATTCAGACTTTCTTTATCAGACAAGACTGGATGGATTCGCTAAGCACTTCACGAATGGCTGGCTTAACCTTTATCTTTGTGCCGGGCATGCGGGTGTTCTTGGCAACGTGAGTGTAGATTATCTTACAGATACTACGGTAGATTTGGAAGGCCTTGTGCTGGGTATAAGCGACGTTACCACTGTCATCTGCAGCACGTATCGTGAAGACAAATACAGTGGAGGTCATGACTCCGTATCCGTGTCTAGACTGATGGACATGAGGATGAAACAGGAGGCTGCGAGAAATTAACATGTCACTTAATGAGGCAACTCGTTTCATTCATTAACAAGACCAGCCGTCAGTCACCAGTGGATTTACGCTTGTGGTGGGGCTTTCCAGGAGGAGATCGGAGCAACGGTGGACCTGTCCGGAGGGTTGTGAAGATAATCGTCACTGTTTACTATTCTAATGATGGAGGCAGTGGTCTATTCTTGATTTTCCCACAACGGGGTCCCAGAAACCACAAGGAGTTCAGCAACAGTCAGCAAGCAGCGAAATGGTCACGCTGGTCGTCTAGATTGAACATAGCATTTTCTGCTAGCCAGTATAGACCTGCTAGATCTGGTAATTTTTTCTTTTAAATCGGTCACGAAAAGAAAATCGAAAGTGTGTGAGAGAGTTAAGCCCTATCGTGATAGGAAGAATGAGAAAGAGGAATGAAAAGTGAGAACCATGTTCACAGTCCCATAATAAGGTGAATATACAAAACGCGGAGGTAGTTGGACTAGCCGCCATGACCTGCAGTTTAGCACAAGGAAGATAGCAGTGTTAACGACCCGAGGTGGTATCAGCACTATTTGCTTTATTGTTTTCAAGCCATGACATAAGTACTTCTTCAAAGTCAGGCTCTTAAATATTTGGTTCACAGGTTAGTATCTCTTCCTGTGGATAAGTATTTAGTGGAGTTTCACAATTTAGGAAATTATTTCTTCCATCAGTTGCATTTTCATTTTAGTTAGTTAGTTAGTTGGGTTATCCTCATTGCACTCCGGACATGTCCATAGGTGCTCAGATCCTCCCCTCAGTATGAACCCCAACGTCCGATGGCTAATAGTACCAGTTCTATGTTGATTAACAAGTCGTCTGGTGTGCGTCTCGTTTTTTGCTGTGCCGATCTTAATTCCCAAGTCTGCCATTCTGGCGAGTGATGTGGATTCACTGCCACCCAAGTCCTCTATCCTTCCCATTTCTCTGAGGGCATTTTTATTTTATTTGTTGCTAGTATCATTTAGCCACATCAGCCTGGCATGTTTTTTCCTTACTGACTGCTTCTTACATTTTTAATCGAACCATTTGTTATTTCTGTTTATGGTGGACACAGAAAGACTTACTTCTGCAGTGGACTGAATTATATTTAGAACTAGCTGTGGCCGGCCAGGCGTTGCTGTGGCATATTTTGGCTAAATGGAAAAGAAAGAAAAAAGAAATTGCACGTGTCTCATATGGTTAATGTCGCAATCATTGCCTGCGCAGATACAGAGATAATCTGGTTTTCCGACTCAAGAACATGCAACATATAATTGTATCATTATAGTGGTCATTTAATTTGTATTATTAGGACTTCTAATTATGGTTATTTGGTTAAAACTGTTTGTATTTTTAAAAGAGCCGGAAGTAAAGCTCATTACTGTACTTTCAAATCACACAAAAACAAAAATAAATTTGATAGCTGAGGTAGTTTTAGTAAAATAAAACAAATTTAGAAATGAAAACTTTAAAATCATGTGTTAAGCTCTTTAAGTTAACAATTTCTGTCATCACACCCTCACCTCCCCAATTCACTGACTACTCCTCTCTCCCTCTTCGAAGGATTTGAAAGTCATCATCTGATGATATTTTTTGTAACTGACCTTGATATCCCTGTCCATCCGGACTAAAATGGGAAGCAGGAATTGTAATGAGTAGTAAATGCGGCTAGTGTAATCTTTACCACACCATCCTTCAAGTACTAGTACAACTACTACCACCACCACAGTAACTAAAATAATGTCACTGTTATCTGTTTTACTATCGGAGCAGACAGGGAGTTGTGAGTCAGAGAATTTGGCGCCAGATGGCTAGTGCTGTCGCCACAGACTGGACCGGTTAGGATGTATAAATTCGCTCTCCGACAGAAAAAATGCCATCACCTTACCGGCGGTCACCGTCATGACAGCACTACGGTGTGGCCGCCCAACTACAACTACTTCTACTTTGAGTGGGTAAGGCAGTTACTGTGACTTTAAGCTCTCTCTACTCTTTCCCTCATCGAAGTAGTTGGGAGACACACACAAAAAACAAGTGAAAAGCAACAAAAACAGGAAAAATACACCATAATTACGAAACTAATGCTATGGTAAACAACACAGCGTAATTTCAACCAGTTCCGTCTCTAATTGTGCCTAACAACTAAATGATCCACTTTTTGAAAGGAGTTCCTCGGAAACTGGTTACTGGAAGCCCTTTCCATGGGTTGCATCGTGTGACATTTTAATGTGCTTATGAAGTTCTGTGTTCTGAATGTATTCATATTACAAATCGACAAGCGGTTATTGTGAAGTGGATATACACGATATTGCTTTTATACTGACTGTGCATAAATAGTGCAACTACACTGGATAAATAGTGTCAAGTGTCGCGCGCCCACGTGGGTAAGTACACTGATATAGTGAGGGTGTGGGTTTGAACCTTAACAATGCCCACCCACGTGAGAAACTGGACTATTATCTAAGCTATGTTGATCCTAGACAGTCCTGGATAGCCAAGAAAACAGCGAGTGGCTCGTTCCATGAAATGAAAGTTGCTGTACTTGTATCCACAGGAGAAGGAGAAGGGATAGATAGATATCTGGATACACCCACTGTGATATAATCCAGGTGCTCATTTAACCCCTGCGACTGGTCTCCTTTCCTGGCATTACTTAAAAGCCCCCATCAAGTGATTTAAATATTTGTTAGCTGAAGTAAACTAATATGCACAAAGACACTTGAACCTAAGTACACAATTTACTTAACTCTGTGTAACAACATCAAAAGATTTATTTNTTAAAGCCCAACAGGGGCAGTGCTCGCAGGATCTCATTACCAGCCTTTAGTTCACCCTTTTATAACTTTTTCAAGCTCCCCCAAAATTACGCCTAAAATCTTCTCATTGGGGATTCCAGCTCCCCCCCCTGGGGGTGTATTTTCCCTGTCAGTCTGACTGTAAACAAGTTTAATTCCCACCTAGGATCCCTGGTTAAATTAAAGGTCCCGCTAAAGCCAATAAACCCCTCTGGCATTCCCTGCCATCACAAAAATCCGATTTTTAAATTCTTCTCCCAACACTTTCCGCTCACTGTGTCAATAGTGACCGTCGACCAGCCTTCGAGTTAGTACCTCAGTGGGATATAATGGCACTTAGCCCTTGTTATCTGTTCCTAAAAGTCTGGCTATGAGATAACTTTTCGACACCAACTAGATTGGTGTGGCAAATTCTCC